AATTATTAGCCCTTATGAAGAGAAGAAATGAGGGATTTAAGCCAACGATGTCCAAAATTCTAACACCTGAGCCAGTAGATCTGTTTTTACAGGAGGCTTCCGATGATACATATTTAATGGTTAAGGTAACGTTGAACATGTGTTTATTTTCATGTTTTTAAGAAATCAAATTTTTGCAGGTTGTCCTTATTGTTGGCGTTGTGGGAGCTTGTCGTGGAAAAGAGCTGCTTAATTTAGAAGTCGACGATGTGAGAGACTTGGGGACCTAATTGCGGTTAGAAATACCAAAAATAAAATTGACAGAAATTTCGTGATCAAAAACTCGGAAAACAGTATTATCAATTTTGTAGGGGTGTTTTGAAAGTATGTGGCATTGAGAAAGACTGGGATACCTCATTCAAAATTCTTTGTTCAATACATCGACAAAGAATGTACTACTAGGCCAGTAGGAAAAAATATGTTTGGTACATTTCCACGCCAAATAGCAGATTTCTTAAAATTAGAAAATCCGACGTTTTATACAGGGCATTGCTTTACTGCGTCTTTATTAGCTGATTCAGGAGCAACAATAGACGTGCGGAAGAGGCATGGAGGATGGAAATCCTCCGCCGTGGCTGAGGAATATGTTGAATACTAATAAAGAAACCATACCAGATAAAATATTCGGCCTAGTCACCCATTTATCTTCCATAGTTACGCAGCCATTGTCTGCATTATCGCCAGTATCGTCGAAACAAACAACAATCTCATATGAAAAGGACTTAGCTGTTGCGCGTGACGTATCGGCTGCATTAACCCAGGAAAGACTGGTTAATATTACGTGTTTGCAAGAATATTTTAAATTATTTTGTTTGGCGCTTGAAATCCCCTCTTTTCGTTGTGAGTGTGTTTAGTTGATAGTGATTGAGAATTTGAACATTATTATTTTGATATTGTTACAGTCCACATATAATTATACCGACTTAGGTTAATAAGTGTTTTATTCATTTACCTAACATTTTGGTCATATCGAGCCGAGATAAGAAGATATCAGAAAGCAATCCAGGTGTCCGAAGAGAGTCAATGCGATAGTCTGCAAGTGTCCACATACCGATCCTTTCTTATCACGTAAGCAATTTTACCTTTACCATTTTATAGAATTTTGTGTGGTTTCAATTTCTAAAAGATGCCTAATGCAGTGGGCCTTAAAAATAATAAAAAAATGATTAAAGCGAATTTAACTCGTTGTAATAGTATATTGAAAGACAAGTGTTACAATGCGACCTATTGTAATACGACTATCTTGTGGCACGAGTGGCGACGCGAAGCGTAGCCACGAGTGTCCGCAAGATAGGAGTATTACAATAAAGCATTGTAACACGCGTTTTTCATACTATTTTTTCTATTTCGGTGCTTTAATTTAATTAAAAAAATCATTATCAGAAACTATAGGGAACATTAGAACTAACATGTTTTATGTTGGGAACACTTTTTATGCCGTTAAGTTTTAGGTTGGCAGCGTAGTAAGACTGACATTTTGAAGTTCAAACATGGAAGTACCCAACGAAGTACCTACTTGTACTAACTAGTAACTGCCAACTTAAGAGATGAGTTACCAAAAAAAAAACGACTATAATCACTGTCTTTGTACAACTGTTTTCCGGCGAAAACAGTTGTACAAAATCATCATTGTGACACCGAAATAGAAAAAAATTATATTGAATCAATTAAAGATTTAGGATTTGATGAAAATACATTGGTTCAATTAAAATTACGCTTAGATAAAATAGAGCCTTGTTTGGAAAAATTTAATGATTTGCAAGCGGAGATAGAGTTATCAGAGGGTGGTGAAGTTGATGAGGATGAAAGATATAGTTTTGAGGATAACTATTTTGACATTATGAGCGAAGGTAAAGCTTTAATTAGCAAGTTAGAAAAACACAGTTTATCCTCACAACAAAATGTTTCTGTGGTTGCAGATAACTCAATTAGTCATATCAGATTACCAACATTTGACGGTAAATATAGCAATTGGTTAGAATTTAAGGACAGATTTATTGCGTTAATAGATAAAAATGAACAATTGACTGATATACAAAAATTTCTATATTTAAGGTCATCCGTTGAAAAAGACGTTGAGACGATAAAATCAATTGACGTATCGGCGGGTAATTACCGAACTGCTTGGCAATGTTTAGTTGATAGGTTTGAAAATAAAAAACTTATTGTATATAATCACATACGCGAAATATTAGAATATCCAGCAATTGTAAAAGAAACATTTGTTGATTTGAGAAATCTTTACGATAGTATAATGAAGAATCTTCGGTGTTTAAATAATTTGAATGAACCGACAAGTAGTTGGGATCGTTTAATCATTTACATAATGTCCAATAAATTCGATTGTAAAACTAGACGCGATTGGGAAGCTTATCGTTATCGAAATGAATTACCGGACATGGAAGATATGCGCAAATTTTTAAATGCAAAATGTGACGTTTTAGAAAAGATTGAATTATCAAAATCTGAAAAATCCAAACCCAATTCACAAACTGTGCAAGGTCAATTTAAAAAGCAGGTTGTCAGTAAAAGTTTTGCTTCAACGGATAAGATACATTTTTGTCAATTTTGTAAGCAAAACCATCAAATTTATAAATGTGAATCTTTTTTAAACTTGAGCGTTGTGGATAGAATAAATGCAATTAAGCAATTAAAATTATGTTTAAATTGTTTACGAGATAAACATTTTTCCTTTAATTGTAAACTAAATAAATGTTATAAGTGTAAACAGGCGCACAATATTTTATTGCATTTAGATCAAGAAAAATCTAGTTCGGGAATTGAAGTCGACTCTAACCATGATAACCAGGTGGCTGAGGCCCATTCGTCGAGCGTTAGTTGCTTATCAGAAATAAAGTTAACAAAAGCTGTTTCACAAGTGTTATTATCTACAGCAATTGTTAAAATTAAAAATCATAGAAATGAGTACATAACGTGAAGGGCTTTAATTGATAGCGGATCGCAAAGTAATTTTATTTCAAATCATTTGTGCCAAAAAATTGGTGCACAGCCTCATAAAATTAATATCCTTGTAAAGGGTGTAGCTGAAGCTTTAACGAATATTGACAAGAGGGTATATGTGTCAATTAAGTCTTGCTATAATAATTTTACTATTGATATTGACTGTTTAGTATTAACCAAGGTAACTGATGAGTTACCTACTGTATCGTTTGGGAGAAATCATATTATGTTACCAAAAAGGGTACAATTAGCTGATCCTAATTTTAATTTGTCTTCTAAAATCGACATATTGTTAGGAGCTTCTGTATTTTGGTCCAGCTTATGTTTAGGTCAAGATCGCCTAGGTACAAATATGCTAGTTTTACAAAATACCCAGTTTGGATGGATTATTGGAGGAAATTTAAATTTACCATTAAATAGCACATCGGCTAGTTTTTTAAATGTTAATTACGCAGACAAATTGCTAAATGATACGATGGTTAGGTTTTGGCAGATAGAAGAAGTGGAACAGAAAAGGGTAAGGTTAACTGCGGAAGAACAATACTGTGAAAATTATTTTAGGGACACAATTAGGAGAAATTATGAGGGTAGATTTGTTGTCAAAATACCTTTTAAGCAATCTTTACTTGAGCTAGGGAATTCGCGAGATAGTGCTTTACGTAGATTCGAGTTACTTGAACAGAAATTCGAGAAAAATAAAGAAGTAAAGTCAGAATATTGCGCATTTATGTTAGAATATGAGAAGTTAGGCCACATGGTAGAGAGTAAAGATAGTTCGGATAGTTTATCAACAGATTATTATATGCCTCATCATGCTGTATTTAAAACCAGTAGCCTTACTAGTAAATGTCGCGTAGTGTTCGATGCTTCTGCGAAATCAAGTACTGGTATTTCTTTAAATCAAGTGCAGTACGTTGGTCCCAAACTACAGCAAGATCTTTTTTGTATACTAACCCGATTTAGAAAGCATAAAATCGTGATGACGGCAGACATATCTAAGATGTACCGTCAAATTTTAATTAGTGATGAACAAACTAAATTTCAAAAAATATTTTGGCGAGCTGACGTATCGGATGGAATTAGATGTTTTGAATTAAAAAATTGACGTATGGTACCTACTGCATCTGCACCGTTTTTGGCGGTAAGATGTTTGGTAGAATTAGCAAACGAATGTAAAGAAAATTTTCCCGCAGTAAGTAAGATTATATTAAATGAATTTTATATACCTAGATGATCTTCTCACTGGAGTAGAATCAATAAATGATGCTCTTCAAATACAAAAGTGTTTATCTAGAATTTTATCAAAAGCTGGTTTTGAATTACGCAAATGGTTGAGCAATAATAGTGCAATACTGAAAAGGTTTGAAATTAGTAAGGGATTAGATCAAGGTATTATACAAATAGGTGCGAACGAACAAAATAAAACTTTAGGAATTTTTTGGAACTCCAATGACGATATTATTCAATATTCAATTAATAGTATATTACGCACCGAGTGCGAAAGTAGGTTATTTTTCGAAGAATTTTTGCGCGCCTCGGGTGATTATATTCTAAGAAAAATAACCTTTCGTCGAGGTTCGTATACGATTTTATTCACGATCATCATTATAATCATTCCATTATCAAAAATAAAATAATTCACTAAATTTATACGTAGTATATTCATCTTATGCGCCATCTGCAATATTATTGCCCTACATAAAATGTTGTCGGTAATACAGATTTGGAAATTTACCTAATTAATATTCATATTAATTTAACATGCATGTTAAAAAATGGCCCATACTAAAGAATTTCAATGTACATCCCCTCAAATAAGGGAAATTGAGTGTAGTAAAAAATTTACTCCCCGAATGAATTTTTGAAGAGAATGAACAATGGTGGGCAGGAAAGGGTATAGGTAAAACTTCATGTTTTACTTGCTTATTTTAACGAGGTAAAGGTAAAGAAATCATCCACATTATGAACGACCAAATAATGTTGTGATCCACATTCAAACCTAATGCCTAATGACCATGTCAGTTTTATTATTCTAAAATGTACCTACAACGATCTTTTATGATTACAGATTTAGACTGGGTTACAATATTAGTATTATAATCTGTGTAGATGTCAATAACGAAAGATGTATTCTCCAGATCCAATCAGGTAGTCACTAAACACCTGTTCCAATACGATAGCCCTAAAAAATAGCATTATCTATTTCTAAAATGTGACAAATTACCTACATTTAATTACCGGACATTGTTTTTGGCATCTCATCGCTACAATATTAGCAAGTGCTGGTGGAGTTCTTCAACTTAAAACAGTTCGGTGGCTGTAGATCGGCTGCAGTAGCAGAAGGTTTCGTCGCCCATTCAGTGGCTCATTCGCGTTACGGGCACGCGATAATAACATAAAGTATGGCAGTATCCCAGGTAGTGCTACGATGTCTCCGATATGCAACATTATGATGCCATAAATTGCCATCCCTTGCTCTTCTCATGGGTCGCAAGCGCAACCCAATGTTTCCATGTCTTATGGACAAGAATTGAACTTTTCCACCCAGAAATTTAAACAGTAATGGGTTCTCTAAAGTAACAATCAATTTCATTAAACTAAAGTTCGAGTTTTATACACTTACCGATCCTTCAATAATTAACGGTTTCTTTTTGCTTTTGTTTTTACTTAACCATTTAGCACCGCGCTCGTTTAGTTTTAGGTTACGTGAAACAATCCATCATCTCCGTAATCTGGCTAAAGTTAATCACAACTCCTACTTGTGTTTACTTCGGTCTTCGCATTTACTTATTTCACATTTTCGCGTTTGGTCGTTCATTTGCAATTTACAAAAAAAAGCACAGAGCTTGAAATAATCCATATTACTCATTATAAGAATAAGAATTGTTTTTAAAATGCGGTTTTGAACATTTTGCATCTAAATCAGCTTAATCAGCTGTCATCTGTGTCAGACAGTTACGATGAGAGCGCCATCCATTAGGATATTAGCAACTAAATCGAGGTAGGTAATGAAATATTACTAACCTCGAATCGAACATTACTAACCTCGAGAATCTACTTTCCTCCCTCCTGGAAAAATAAGTGTTGTAAAACACAACTTCCTTATCCTTCAAAATGACAATTATGAGACTGATTACAATATGATCGTGAATAAAATCATTTTGTATTCGATAAAGTCACAAAAAGAAATGTGTTAGCTGTAATATGCCAAATATTTGACCCGTTAGGTTTATTAGGACCAGTCATAATAATTGCAAAAATGATAATTCAAGAACGTTGGGTGCTAAAACTAAAATGGGACGAAATAATTCCGGAAAAATTGCAATCAAAGTGGAAGGCTTTTCTTAATGATTTGCCTATTATTAATAATTATAAAATTGAAAGGCGAGTTGTGATGTCAGATTGCGTAGAAATAGAAATGCACGGCTTCTCAGACGGCTCTGAACTAGCATTTGGAGCGTGTATTTACATTCGATGTGTAAGCTTATCTGGTAGTATTTATACCAAATTACTATGCGCAAAATCACGCGTGGCCCCATTGAAAAAGATTAGTCTACCTAAATTAGAATTATGCGCTGCGGTGCTATTAGCTGAGTTAGCCTATAAGGTTATTGATTGTTTAGAAATAAATTTTACTAAAAGATATTATTGGACGGACTCAACAATTGTGTTATCATGGATAAAAAGTGAACCTGCAAGGTGGAAAACCTTTGTATCAAATCGTGTTAGTACTATTCAAATTACAACTTCCGGTGATCAATGGTATCATATAAGTTCAATCGAAAATCCTGCTGACTTGTTGTCGCGAGGGGTTTACCCAAACATTTTGGAAAATAATAATTTATGGTGGGAGGGACCTAAATTCCTGAAGTTGAATAGCTGTGACTGGAAATTTAATTACAATCTTATAGATACTGAGATACCAGAATTACGTACCACAGCTTTGACAGTTCAGACAGAAAACTGTCTAAATACTATAATAAAAAATTTTTTTTCACTACTAGCGTCTGATGACATGATTATTAACCTTTTTTCCACTTGTAAAGTAGGCTTTCTCGGCATTTGTTCAAAGTGGTTAATAATCTTTTATTATTAAATAGTAGTCAATAATGAGAACTGTCACGCTGTCACTTTTAGAAAACACAACCCGAAATTTCGCTCAATGAACGTTATTAGACAAGTTCTCTAAAACGAATAATTGCCACCATTCGCAATTTCCAGAGAAATTACATACCTAAAATTATCACATTTTGAAAAAAATCGAACGAAATTACTCTTTGAAAAATCTCAATGACAGAACAAAATACGGCCTGTTTGACTTGTACTTCCACGTACTTGATTGACATGTTAAATTAAGAAACAAACAATTCTGTCCAACCGTTAACTCTCTTATCAATATAATATGTTAATTTAGAGGATTTCAAGTGCTAGTAGTGAAAAAAATAGTATATATACCACGGTAGAGAAGTCTATTATTGCCTTCGCACCTTACACCCCTCGGCGCAAGCGCCTCGAGATGTAATCTTGGTGCTCAGGCATAATACTGTACTTCTCTACCTTGATATATAATGTACTATTT